TGGAGACTCTTTCACAGAAATGAGACTTCTCCATATTACTTTAATATCCTGCCTTAGCATCAGATGTGCAGGAGAACATTCTTGATTGTATTTAATGATCATTAGTTTTTATTAATCAGTTAATGCAAATAATCAATCACAAGATGGAAAAACAAACATGCATATTATCTAATCTTCTGCAGATCAAGGACTTGAATGCAACATCATTGTCTAACTTCCAGCATGGACAGGACTTTAGAGTCATCACAAAGGACCTTAGAGTCACGTCAGCACTATAAACACAGATTATGTTCCTTTCAGAATAAGGAGTGATTATGTTTCAATATTTCACTATTTAGTGGCATCTCACACATCCCATAGCATCTACATTGTTCTTAGAATGTTAAAATGAGCTAATATAACCAATCATTTACAGCACAAACATTTTCTATTAATGGTTTCTCTTATATTGCTCAAAGATTCTCAAGAAAGCCATACAGAAAAGAACTAGTCACCCTTACAATGTCACTCTTAGCACCATAAGAACTTTACATCAATGGTGCTTAGAGGACCGTAAGCCCATTCATTGTGAACTGTGAAAATCATGACTGCTGTCAGATAGCTTATCAGGTAGTTAGGTACCCAGAAATCCTAGCTCCCAGCTGCAGACTAGGCATGTGTGGTCCTCAACTTTCCCAACACTGCCCAGTTCAATAAACAGGCTGTATATAGGTTGATAGCTGATGCAATATGGCTGCTTTCAGTTCACTGAGCACCTCCAATCTCCCTTTGTACAGTAATTTCTTGTGTGATCCATCACTCATAATACTGCCAAAACACGATCACTATGGCACAGAAATCTGCAATGTGCGTATCTAGTGTATGCCATGTGCGTATCTAGTGTATGCAATGTGTGTATCTAGTGTATGCCATGTGCGTATCTAGTGTATGCAATGTGCGTATCTAGTGTATGCAATGTGTGCATCTAGTGTATGCCATGTGCGTATCTAGTGTATGCAATGTGCGTATCTAGTGTATGCAATGTGTGCATCTAGTGTATGCCATGTGCGTATCTAGTGTATGCAATGTGCGTATCTAGTGTATGCAATGTGCGTATGTAATGTATGCAATGTGCATATGTAATGTATGCAATGTGTGTATGTAGTGTATGCAATGTGCGTATCTAGTGTATGCAATGTGTGTATGTAATGTATGCAATGAGCGTATCTAGTGTATGCCATGTGCGTATCTAGTGTATGCAATGTGCGTATCTAGTGTATGCAATGTGCGTATGTAATGTATGCAATGTGCATATGTAATGTATGCAATGTGTGTATGTAGTGTATGCAATGTGCGTATCTAGGGTATGCAATGTGTGTATGTAATGTATGCAATGAGCGTATCTAGTGTATGCAATGTGTGTATCTAGTGTATGCAATGTGCGTATGTAATGTATGCAATGTGCATATGTAGTGTATGCAATGTGTGTATGTAGTGTATGCAATGTGCGTATATAGTGTATACAATGTGCGTATCTAGTGTATGCAATGTGCGTATGTAATGTATGCAATGTGCGTATGTAATGTATGCAATGTGTGTATGTAGTGTATGCAATGTGCGTATCTAGTGTATGCAATGTGTGTATCTAGTGTATGCAATGTGTGTATCTAGTGTATGCAATGTGCGTATGTAATGTATGCAATGTGCATATGTAGTGTATGCAATGTGTGTATCTAGTGTATGCCATGTGTGTATGTAATGTATGCAATGTGTGTATGTAGTGTATGCAATCAGCGTATATAGTGTATGCCATGTGCGTATCTAGTGTATGCAATGTGTGTATCTAGTGTATGCAATGTGCGTATCTAGTGTATGCCATGTGTGTATGTAATGTATGCAATGTGTGTATGTAGTGTATGCAATGTGCGTATCTAGTGTATGCAATGTGTGTATGTAATGTATGCAATGAGCGTATCTAGTGTATGCCATGTGCTAGTGTATGCAATGTGCGTATCTAGTGTATGCAATGTGCGTATGTAATGTATGCAATGTGCATATGTAATGTATGCAATGTGTGTGTATGTAGTGTATGCAATGTGTGTATGTAGTGTATGCAATGTGCGTATCTAGGGTATGTAATGTGTGTATGTAATGTATGCAATGAGCGTATCTAGTGTATGCAATGTGTGTATCTAGTGTATGCAATGTGCGTATGTAATGTATGCAATGTGCATATGTAGTGTATGCAATGTGTGTATGTAGTGTATGCAATGTGCGTATATAGTGTATACAATGTGCGTATCTAGTGTATGCAATGTGCGTATGTAATGTATGCAATGTGCGTATGTAGTGTATGCAATGTGTGTATGTAGTGTATGCAATGTGCGTATCTAGTGTATGCAATGTGTGTATCTAGTGTATGCAATGTGTGTATCTAGTGTATGCAATGTGCGTATGTAATGTATGCAATGTGCGTATGTAATGTATGCAATGTGCATATGTAGTGTATGCAATGTGTGTATCTAGTGTATGCCATGTGTGTATGTAATGTATGCAATGTGTGTATGTACTGTATGCAATCAGCGTATATAGTGTATGCCATGTGCGTATCTAGTGTATGCAATGTTTTTATCTAGTGTATGCAATGTGCGTATCTAGTGTATGCCATGTCTTGGTATCAAAGGTGTATAAATAAATAGTATCTAGTGTATGCAATGTGTCGGCATCTAGTGTGTCATGTAATGTGTCTAGTGTGTGCAATGTGTGTGTCTAGTGTATGCCGTAATGTGGTATCTAGTGTATGCAATCCTATGAGTATCTAGTGTCATGCAATGTATTCATCTAGTGTATGCCGTAATGTATCTAGTCTTGTCTGTGTGTATCTAGTGTGTCTATTGTCTTGTGTCTCCAATGTATGCAATGTGCATATGTAATGTATGCAATGTGTGTATGTAGTGTATGCAATGTGCGTATCTAGTGTATGCAATGTGTGTATGTAGTGTATGCAATGTGCGTATCTAGTGTATGCCATGTGCGTATCTAGTGTATGCAATGTGCGTATCTAGTGTATGCAATGTGCGTATGTAATGTATGCAATGTGCATATGTAATGTATGCAATGTGTGTATGTAGTGTATGCAATGTGCGTATCTAGGGTATGCAATGTGTGTATGTAATGTATGCAATGAGCGTATCTAGTGTATGCAATGTGTGT